CGGCACACAGTTTCACAGAAATTTGAGCAAAAATAACCTCGGAGTTGCATTAGGCCCGCGTCAAAGCTGCCTGTGGGAGCCAGCGTGTCCCTTCCCTGCGCTCTCCTCCTGTGCGAGGGCGCATCTTCACTTTCCTGACAGGGCGGTATCTGCTTGGAGTGCTTACTAGCAATCGTGCCACATTCAAAGTAGGAGAAAAGGGAGGAAATTACCAGACTTGTGGGTTTTCCCGCTTCAGGTAGTAGCCCCTGGTCCCCCCAAAACGCCCCCCAAAACCACAGTAATGACAAGGCACTATTGTAATATGAAAAAGAAAAGTGTCCGGTTGTTGAGTTCTTCAGTCAGGCTTCTTCTCAAAGGAAGTTTTGGTGAAGTAAAAGTTGAGATGAAGGAAGTACTAACTTGATGTATCTGCTCAATATGGTGTTCCCGTGGAGCAACTGGAGGCCTAAATACAGCAAAGTGCTACTGGTGTCCTCTGCGCCTTGGTGTGAGAAAACACAAGTGATGTTTTGGGTTTGAGTAGTTGTCTCTGCAAATTGCGTCCTCACCATCCTTCAAAAAGAACTCAAACCAATGCTCAGGCAGAGTATCGTTGTTCCCTCTGCACCAGTGAGTAATATAACTCAGGGTGTGTGGGGAGAAGAAACGCAGCGTACTAACCTTGATCTTGCTTTGTAGCTTGGCGGGTGGATGAAGGCCACTTTTACTGAACCTATCGTTGGGACATTTAGTTAAATGACATCGAAAGCAGTGCATTTCAGTTACTTTCTAATTTTCACTGTTAGGAAAATTTTAACTCAGTGGGCTACTGATACAGAGTTTTGCCTTTTGGGATACACTCAAGCCCTCTCAGTATTAAGGTGTTTAAACATGTTGGCTCTTGCTAGGTAGGGTGTTTGGTTCCACCTGCTGTCTGATTTGGGAAGCTCCTTGTTTTATTGATGAGCATTCGGACCTTGATCTGTCCTTTCATGGTATACGTTGACTTTTGCTTCCACCTGCTGTGTAACTTGCAAAACTCATTATTTCATTGATCTGATGACTGAGATTTGTGTTTGGTAATAAAGCAGGACTGGGTTTTGACCCTATTCAGGATACTAGATAAATCTCTAAAACTTTAGAATTATTCAAACTAGGAGCTGTAGTACCTAGATGACAGTTAATTCTGCTCAGTGTAGAAATGACACTATTAAACTTCATCGTGTTGATATTACAAGTTAGAGGAATAGATGTAGAAAAAACAGATATTTGGAGGGATATTTTTCTTTGAATTTTTACAATACATTTTGTTAAAAAGAGAGGAAAAAACCCAGACTCAAGGACAACCCCAACCCTGAATTTGACCGTGAACCAGATGTTGAAGGGGGGGAAAAAGAAGCTCTGTTTATGCCTCGTATCCTAGAGAAACCATCCAAGAACAGTTCATTCTTAGATAAAGAAGGGCCAAGAAACATTGCCAAGATTGATAGAATCTCAAGTTATCTGCCACACGAGCACTGGTACTGCAAGTTACAGTTGCCTGATGTCAAGCTCTTTTTTCACCTTGCAGCATATAAAAAAAAAATATATTCAGATGCCTCAGAATGCATCTTACTTAAGAAAAAATAAGATCTTTAGAAATAAATAGGCATAAATAAAATTATGATACATCAGTCAGAATTATCTGAACTCATGAACCCTTTGCTACACATTTCTTGCTAGCAAGCTTACTGGGCAATTCCTTTAAATGGAACTGAGGTTCTAGTCAGAACAGAGTTGGCCCCAGCTCCAGTTAAATACTGCAGGCATTAGCTATGCTGCCACACAGGTTTTCCTCTGATTTCTATAGACAACAATAGTTTCCTCCTTGAAACCATTCTGTTAACAACATCTATGAGATGGGTTGATAAAGCAGTTCTAATATAATTCTCTCTTCTTATTAATTGAAGAAAACATTGGAACTCAGAAAACTTTCATATCCTCGCAAATCAGACTATGTCAAACAGTTTTAAAATATTCCTACTTGTTTTTTTGATAACCAGCATAAATCTGTTAGAGATGAAGCAAAATTAGCTCTACTACACCTCAGCGTTCTTTTTTACTGCTCTATTTCCACTTTGGAACTTGTTCTCTTACTGAGAACTGGTGACAAATAAAACCACTGGCAAGTTAGATCTTCACTGTCCAGCCTAAAGTCTGATTTGTCACTCGAGAGAATTCAGTAAAGTACCGTAGGATTGCATTACAAACAGCTTGTAACATCAAGTAGCAGCCATAGAGAGTTTCTGCCTCTTGGTCCAATGGACTGCTGGAATCTGTAGACTTCTCAGGAAACTAAGCAAAGAAACTAAAAAGCAAGATTAAATGTGCCTTACAGGGAGACAAGGATTTTGAGCCCTGTAGGGAGAGACAACATATTATACAAGACCACCCAATAAATTTATATTGGCAAGCTCCATCATACCTGCCAGCTTCTCACAGCTGGTGTAATATGGGTATTACTTCTCCTTCTCCCCACCCCTGCCCACCCCCCAGTAAAAATTTAACTTACTAACAAGGAAAAAGAAAGGAATGATGAGGAGCTGTAATCTCACTCTTCTTTGCTGACTAGTACCAACCTATGCCACGAAAACAGAACCCCTCCCTAAACTGCAGAGGTCCAGTAGGTCGAATGTAGGCCTAATGTTGGCAGCAGGAGTTTATATTAAGCTACTGTTAGAGCGGGTCTGTTCCAGGTGCAGGGCAGGCACCTGACCTAGGAATGCCCTGGATTATGTCTAGTCCTCAGATAGAAAGCATAGACCATGTTTCTTCTGGACTTCCTCTTTTTAGTTTTTATTTCCATCTCTGTCACATTTCTGTTTATTTTTCAGTTGCATCTTCTGACTTTCTAGCTGTGTTCTTCATCCAGCTAAGTGCTAGAAGAACAAACTTGCAATGTGAAGATGACACTATGCTGAAGGCTATCAAGATCCTGTCATTCCTGGAGATGTATGTGTAAACATCTGCAGCATAAAGCAGATCCAGATGGGAATTTTTACCAAGTTTTAGAAAATATGTCAGAGAGGGGGGTTGGAAAGGCAGAGACTGCTCATGCTGGAGAATTGCTTTCCTCAGAAACATACTGAAGTGAGCTTGCAACTAGAATCTCTCCACTCCCCCCAACCTCACTGTCCCCCTTGCTTGCTTGTCTTTTAGGCTGCCAGGACTATTGGGGTTTTCTATTCAGTCATGCCAAACAGGACTGACAGTCACCATGACAAGAAAGCTTACTTGGTCGGTGTCTACAGCAACTACGCTAGGAAGTTTTGGAGATCTCTTGTCTTTTAACTATAGATGAAAATGTCGTTGTGAATTCTCAGTATGGGCTCCTTTTCTGAAAGGCAGCAGATGTCAAAAACAATCTGGGCAAGCTGTAGATACTCCTGGAAGAGGCAAGGAAAAAAGAAAACATAAATCTGCTTGTGATTCTTGCAATGTAACAGTCTCAGTATCCCTGGAAAGCACGCTGAATGATACTGAAAGAGTAAATAAAATCCCTCACTTCCTGACAGTAACTGCTTGGATTTGCTTACAGGTCTGATGAGCCAGGAGAGTTTTATGTATCAAAAATAACTGGATGACATGAAGGAAACTTGGTGCATTCACAGATTGAGTCAAATCAGTAGCACTGTTAAAGGGAGTAGGAAATGTTATCTCTGCTCTGTTAGTGCTGGATAGGGATATAGTATCTATTGCACATGCATGTGTTCTTCACAAGGACCAATTTTTACTTACACTGGAGACCTTCACTTTGCATTTTGGAATGCATGAGCCATCTTCATGCTTGTCTCTATATCCCCGAAGTAGGGCCTATTATTTCTCTGCTGCTATGGGGAAGTGCTAGTTCTGCTACAGAGCAGATCAGTCTGAATGTGAATTGAGAACCAACTTCAACGTTAATAGGTTTAAAGGTTAGAAGAAGGAAGGTATCAATAAACTAGGGTGGTAGAGTTTTCTAGGTGTAACCTTGCAACATTGTAGTTGCAGAAATGCAACACGATAGGCATGGATTCTTATCTCAGTTTGAGTTTGTTGAGCTGAAATCTGCTTCTGACACCCCTAGCTGATTCCAAAGTGCTTTTGCTGCCTTTCTTTGGTCTGCTTTAGTTAGGTGGTCAAATCCAAAGCAGCACAGACAAGACGGGGGTGACCGAGTGAAAAAGAAGAAAGCAGCAGGCGGCAGACGGACATGTGGAAGGACCATCGCTTCCTTTTCTTCCAAAATCGTCTAGCCGTCTCGTTCGACTAGAGGCACTTCCAGGTGCACGCCGAGTTTCTGTCTGTCCGGACCGGTGCCCGGGAAGCCTCGGC